AAGATAGGAAACCAAGAAGTATGTGAATAGATAAATCCTGTTTCTTGGAGTCATTTAACGTTTTAATCAAATTATTTGACCTTCAAACACAATCCCAATGAGGACAAAACTACCTCGTCTTTTTACCGTGTCAAACCAACCAGTAAATGAATTGGGGTTTTGAAACCCCTGACAAGCTTTTAAGAAGGCCATGAACTTACAAATAAGCATCTCAGAAGGTTTTAATTGCTGTGATATGGAAAAGTCATTTGACCTCTTTTAAAAGTGGCACAATGAAACTGGCCACCTGCCCAGCTCACTGAGGCTCTGCGCATTAATTAATAGAGGTGGAGGTGGGATGCTGGGAGCTTCCCTTGAGGAGAGGAGAGAGCTCTTTAGAGGCAAACCCTTGTGATGGCTGTAACCAAAGATGCCATTCTCTCTAGACTGCCTCTGGTGACCAATTTAACACACTGTATGGAATATGTTTTGAATTAATTGGCTTTTATAGCCTCTCAGTTGTCTGGGAATTGTAGATTAGCTGTGGGTTTTGCCTTTGTCAAGACTCCCTCTTCTTTCTTCTTTCTTTCTTTTTTTTTCCAAGACAGGGTCTCACTATGTAGAGCTCAGACTCACAGAGACCTATCTCTTCATCCTGTGCTGGGATTAAAAGGCTTGCACCACCATACATGGCCTAATAGGTTTATTTTAACTTTATGTGTGTATATGCATGACTGTGTGCATGTATTACCACTTGTGTGTGGATTCCCACAGAGGCCAGAAGAGGACATCGAATTCCTTGGAATTGGAGTTTATAGGTGCTTGTGAGCCACCCAGTTAGGCGCTGGGAACTGAACTTTGGTCCTCAGCAAGAACATGTGTTCTTAACCACGAAGTCGCGTCTCCAGCCCCTTGTTTTCTTCTTTCAGTGAGAGACAATGACCAGATGCCCCAGTATCTCCTTAACCCTGGGCTCTCCACTTATGGGTGGGTGCTTGACAGTCCGTCCTTAGGGGATTTTCAGTCAGAAGCCAGAGTTCCTGGTGCTGCTGGGTGGAGTTTTGGTAACTGCATTTACTCCCGATGCCAGACACCTTTCTCAGGTCTCCGACGTGTGCTTGGATGGGAACAGTACTGGACTCATTCAGTGTGATTCCGGAAGGTGAAACTGGGACAGCTGAGAGAGGAACACAGTTCCAGGTCCGAGTGAAAGAAAACTTCTGCAGAAACTGCCACCCACTGGGATAAGTTCCACCTGGAGATGGTGAGCATCTCGTCAGCAGAACCCGTGTTTGTCGGAGTACTGGCTTGTACTCATCTGAATCTCCTCTAGTCAGCTGTGACAGAGATGCGTGTGTAATAGCAGTGTTGTTGGAGCTTTTAGGGCAAACGCCAGGACTCTGACAACTCCAGCAGGCTAGGCTCAGCCACCAGCCCCTAATATTTCATTTAAAGGCACTGGTAATGCAGAAAATCAGAAAGAGAGACAGAGAAACAGACAGACAGAAATTTTGTGTGCCTCATCAGTAAGAGAAACAGATAAAGGGGTACAGTTGCCCCAAGTCCACCTTCAGGAGACTGGCAGGAGCTTTGTTTTTTTTAGCAGAGGAAAAAATGGGGCAAGTACAAGAAGTTTTTTTGTATCAGCCCTGGTCTAGGTGTGAGATCGTTGTCTCTGCTCCGAGCCTTCGAGGAGTCTGCAGCTGTCCTCACTGATTAAGGAGACAACTGACTCCAGGAGATGTTTCTGCTCCACCTCTGGCCTCGCCCCCATGGATAACTGCTCTCACCTGAGACTTTGGTTTTTTCTGGAACCCAAAGTGAATGCAGGTTTCGGTCAATAACTTGTCTCTGTATCTTCAACCGGGAGGGGTTGAGGTTGGTTTGGTGGCCAATCAAGTAAAGCAGATAACCACAGAATGGGGACAGATGCCAGGCTTTCATTTACCTTGTGGACTCAGGTGAGGAGTCTGTGCCCTTTAGTAGAGGTGGTGTGATGGCTGTTCTCGGTTGGCAACTTGGCTATATATGGAATTAACTAAAAGCAAAAAAAAAAAAAAGTGGCTGGGAATATCGGTGCGCAATTTTCTGCTAAATTAAATCATTTGAAGTGGGAAGACCCACTTTTAATCCAGATCATTTGAAATGGGAAGACACACCTTTACTCTGGACCACATCTTCTGCAGGAGCCTATATAAAAGACACAAAAGAGGGAAGTTCTCTCTCTCTCTGCCTGTTTGCTCTCACTCTCCCTAGCAGGTCAATTCTGCCACTGGCATTAGAGCCTAATTCCTTCCATTAATAGCCAGTCATCATTGGACTAGCTGGACCATAGCCCTAAGCTATTCTAATAAAGCCCTTTAGATAGATAGATAGATAGATAGATAGATAGATAGATGATAGATAGATAGATAGATATTTGTTCTGTATGTTCTGTTTCTCTAGAGAACCCTAATACAAGCAGCTTCTAAGTTATTGACTTAATCATATTGTCCATTTACTAGCTATCGTAAGAAGAAGAAAAAGAAGATGACAATGACCATGAAGCTGTAACTGCTCTAGACAGTACCAGGCCTGGACTTAGGTTGCGCAATGTATAAAAATAGCTGGGTGGTGATAGAACACGCCTTTAATCCCAGCACTCAGAAGGCAGAGATTGGCAGATTTCTGTTTGAGGCCAGCCTTATCTACAGTTCTGGGACAACCAGATCGAAGAAGAAGAAGAAGAAGAAGAAGAAGAAGAAGAAGAAGAAGAAGAAGAAGAAGAGGAGGAGGAGGAGGAGGAGGAGGAGGAGGAGGAGGAGGAGGAAGAGGAAGAGGAAGAGGAAGAGGAAGAAAGGAGGAAGGAGGAAGGAGGAAGGAGAAAGAAAGAAAGAAAGAAGAAAAGAGAAAAGAAAGAAAAGATTTTCAGCACACAGATAGATGCACAGACAGACCTGGAGTCTCAAGCCAATGTTCACACTATGAAAAAGTGAACTCTGCTAAACGGAAAGGGGCTCAGGGGCAAAAGCAAGAGGACGGTGTCAACCATGACATGAAGAACAGACAAAATGAGTAAGCTGGAGCTCCAGCAGGTCAAAGGTGAGTGGGAAGGGAGTGACGTCACTCCAGAGGTGCCACTGGTGTGAAGCAGTGCTGCTGAAGGGTCCCTGGAGCCCAAGGGAGTTCTTCCGACCCAGCTTCTTGCTCAGGCTTTCTCTGGGTCTGAAGGGCTGCTGACAGGAAGACCCAAAGAAGATGCTGCATCTGTGTGCAGAGACACAGTGCTGTACAGGTGTGTGAAACATGGAAGACTTCAGGGCAAGTGGGGCACTGGGTGACAGGAGGCAGATTTGCGTAGCTGGAGGAAGTGGGAGTGGCGTCACCAACTCTGGGACTCAGGACCTGTTGGATGGCTAAGTTAGATGACACAAAAGACCCAAGGAGTTGAGAAGCCAACGAGAATGGAAATAGGTAGCCCAAAGTAGCGTGCCAGGAAGCTCAAATATCAGGCTAGAGAGTTTGGACTTTGGCCTTGGGTGCGTGGACTAGACATTTGGGGCAGGAAAGCAACTAGGATTGCAGCTGGTGTATCCAGAAACTAGCTGGGCAGTGGAGTGCAGAGGGAGTGCCAGCCAAGAGACAAGGAACAGTCTAGAAGAGATGTAATACCAACCGAAAGTGGAGAGGATGCCCTCCAACCTGTTTCGCTGCCTGCAGGCTGTGCAGTGTGCTCCAGGTTCCCAGCTTTGTGAGCTCTCACCCACGCTGGAGTGGGCTTTGGTGATGCTGCTGTCCTTGAGTCGTTTCTACTCCTGTAAGTAACCCCTCTGTCGGGGTCCGGTGCTAGCCCGGACCATAAATTATTTTCCTGAACCAGATCCCAACATAAACTATCTCCCTGGACCAGAGTGGAGGTGCAAGAATAAAGACACAACGCACATGGCTTTATCGGGAGGAAGATTCTCAGTGGTCCCTCCTGAAGTCCTGAGTTCACATCCTGAAGAATTCCTTCTCGTTTATTCTCCAAACAGCTTTTATACCAAAACATAAACTGAGTGGGAAATACACTAGCATTCTGTCTCCTAGGTAACCAGGCGAATGGCTTTTAGTCACGTCCACATCTACCTATCTTCTCTGTATGCTGTCTGGCACGTAGGCTTGAATCAGCATCTCGATCAGGCATCCTCCAAATTACAAAGAAAGGAGCAAAACGACATCCTGACCCTTTGTTAGGGCAGCGGCAGCCTGCCTAGAAGGCTACGTGACCATCTCAGGTGTGGCCTATGGCTTTAGAGCCTGGCTGCCACAGCAAATAGAAATATGGGCCTACACCCCTCGCCCATATTCCTCTAAGTACCCCCAGTGAAACTCATAGGTTCACCAAGCTGGACTTTGGTGGCGTCTGTACGCTGGTCTCTCACGGGCTCCCTGTCTGTGGTGAGTAGATGTGTTTTGCACCTCCTCAGGAAGTTTTATCACACAGCACGATCTCACTGACTCTCTTCAAGTGTTCTGAGCAAGGGCAGCTCTTTTGTGATAGGGCTGCTTTGCTATTTTTTGTTGTTGTTTGTATTTTTGTATTTTGGTGTTTTGAGACAGGATCATATTTCTCAGACCTGCCTCCACCTCCCAAATTCTGGGATTACAGGCATGCATCACCATGCTGGCTTTGGGGCAGTGTGTTTGAAAGGACTATTTGAATTTCTTGCACTTCTAGAAGATACAGCTGAGAACTTTATGCTAGTATTATTCCCTGAGTATTTCATTCATTGAACACTGGTGTCAAGGCCTAGACACAATAGCTGAGCTCGCCAAAGGCAAATGCTTTGTGCTGCTGCCCCCTAGAGGCCATTATTCCTAAAAGCAGCCCACACTGTAACCCCTGCAGAAACCCATAGCGAAGCCCTAAGAGAATTGAGATGACTCAGTTTCTGTCTAATTTGGATGCTGGCCTAGGATCCCAGAGATGATGTGGGGGCTGGGCAATCCAGCCTTCCCCTTCCTGCTCTGCCATCATCTCTGGGGGTGACTCTGGGATTTCGGGGGGAGGGGACAGACCAATATACAGAGCCTTCAGGGAGATGCTTCTCTCCATTCCCTCTTCTTTTTTCGGCATGGTCTTACACTGCAGCTATAGTTAGCTGGGTATTCCCAAAGGAACTCGAGCCATCCTCAGCCATCAGCTCTCTGGTGCTAGAATCACAGGCATATCCCACCATTCCTGATGTCGCAGTCTCTGGACACTCACATGTCAGTCTTTATGGAATCTGTAAATTAAATTGAGCACAGCTTCCCATCATCCCCAGTTCCTTCCAGATGACTCTCATTCTCTCCAAACGCCTTGTCTTGGTGCCTGGGCACAGTCCTCTGACCATTTTGAAAAAAACACAATTTGAGGTCTTTTCTGGGCTTCCCGGGCCTTCAGACCCTGACTTTAGGGGTTTTAGTCTTCTTCATATTTCATTAAGGCTCACTTCTGGATGTAAAAACAAAAAATAAATAAATACATGCATACAAAAAGAAAAAAGACTTACTTCTAGTTCTACCAACTGACAAGTGCTAATGGGGTAACTATCTTGGCTAATATAATCACATTTGTCTTTAAGGTCATTTCAAGGATACAAATAGTATCCTTGCCCATCTAGAAAAGTGGTTCTTAACCTGTGGGTCACGGCCCCTAGGCAAACCTCTACCTCTAAAAAAAAGTTAACATTATGATTCATAACAGTAGCAAAACTACAGTTGTGAAGTAGCAACAAAAATAATTTTATGGTTGGGGTCACCACACATGGGGAACTGTATTAAAAGGATTCAAGCATTAAGATGGTTGAGAACCACTGCTCTAGACGGTGTCTGAGCTTTTAATATTTGACTTATTAAAATTAATTTAATTATTCAATTATAAGTATTAATTACTAAAAGTATCAGATTATTTTAATTTTTGTGTGTATAGGTGTCTAGGTGGTTTGCCTACATGTAAGTCTGGGCATCACCTGTGTACAGTTCCCACAGAGGCTAGAGTAGGGCATTGGATCCCTGGGTCTGGAATTACAAATGGAATTGAATCTGGGTCCTCTGTTAGAGCAGCCAATGATCCTAACCACTCACCAGTTACAGTCTTTTGATGCTAATTACAACGAACAAAGCACAGGGGTGGGGGATGTAGCTCAGTAGCAGAGCAGTTAACTAGCCTGCACAAGGCCTTGGGGTCAATCCCTCACACTGAAAACACATACACTCATCACATACACACACATACACACACTCATACATACACATTCACACACACACATACTTTCAAACTGAGCCAGGCATTGTGGCGTAAGTCTATAACCTCAGCATTTGAAAGGTGGAGGCAGGAGGATCACTGTGATTTCAAGGCCGACACAGGCTACAAGAAAAGAAGGAAGGGAGTTGGATGTGGTGGCACACACCTTTAATCCCAGCACTCATGAGGCAGGGGCAGAGGATCTCGGTGAGTTTGAGGCCAGCCTGATCTACAGAGCAAGTTCCGGGATGGCCTGGGCTACACAGAGAAAAACAGGCCATAAGTTGGCTGAGTGTCGTCAAAACATATTTGAAGCTTGTTTTCCTTATAAACTTGAAGCTGAGGGGGCCACTTCACACCGTGACAGCCAAAACTGGCCTTTTGGTGCTTTTGTCACCTCTCCCCATGGCCTGATTTCTTAGATGGTCAAATAATTTAGCTTTGGCACAATGGTCTGGAGCTTCACAATGCCACTTTGGTTTGGTCTGTTAAGCATAGTGCAGAGCCTGAACCAGCAGCCTCAAGGAGTTTATTAACATTGTTCCATACTTATTAATGTGTGTATGAACACAAAAGCTTGCCGCAGCCCACATATGGAGGTCAGAGGACAATTTAGAGGAGCTGATTCTCTCCTTCCACCATGTGGGCCCTGGGAATCAAACTCAGGTCATCTGGCCCTTTACCCGCTGAGCCGTCTAAAAGTAGAGGCTTTTATTAGACGCTATAAAGAATTTGTTGACTCGTAAAACAAGATGCTCTTAAAGAGAACAGGCTAGCCTGGATTCAAAAGTCAGAAGGCGACACTCGAGATCCAGTGTTTCTCTGGCTTATCTGTCTCCTAGTCTCCACTGATCCACAGGTCTGAGGGGCCCCCACGGCTCCAGACTCAGCGCCGTGGTATAGCTCAAGGGCCTCAGGTTCCAGTTGCAGGCTGCAGAGGAAGAAGGCATGGGCTCTTTCCCCAGCAGCCCCAGTGAGCTTTGTCACAACTTACTGAGTTTCTTCAGGTGACAGCCCCAATTCCTGAGCCAAGCCCGTGTCCAGTAGCGGACCTGGGAGTGAGAACTGGGGAAATGTTTTGAATTCAAAATGCAACGTAGTTTGGGTTGGAGACACAGGGAACTGGATATCAAACCTTCACAAACCTGCTGCCAAGCAAATAATGATAAGAGAAAATGTACGTGTTTAATACAAATGCAAATCTTCCCCAGATAGTTTCAGTCTCTGGGTTTGGAGGCTTGGCTGTACTTCAGTTAGCGAATCAGTGGCTTGAATTAAGCTAGGCAAGTATGCTGCCGCTCAGCCACATCCCTAGTCCTAATCGTTTCCATCCCTCCCCCTTGTACTTTTTAAGAGGTTTTCACTAAGTTGCCTAGGCTAGTCTTGAACTTATTCTTTGATATAAGCAGTGCTTGAACTTGCCTCAGCCTCCCAAGCACCTGGAATTACAGTCCTGGGCCATGCATGTCTCGGGCCTGCAGAGGACAAAAGATGGCATTGAATCCCCTGGAACTGGAGCTGCCAATAGTATGGATGCTGGGAACTGAAACCCTTTCTTCTGCAAAAACATCAACTACTCTTAATCAGTGAACCATCTCTCCAGTGCCCTACTTGCATGTTTTTGTTGGGTTTGTTTTGTTTTTGCAGCTGAACACATCCTAACTGGGTATGATTCCTTACAAAAGCAAGACCTTAAATGAGGTAATATGCGTAAAGTACTTAATCAGCTTTAACAGGTATTTGTTATTATGGTTTTTGTTTGTTTTGTTTTTGTTTTTTTGAGACAGGGTTTCTCTGTCGCTTTGGAGCCTGTCCTGGAACTAGCTCTGTAGACCAGGCTGGCCTTGAACTCACAGAGATCTGCCTGCCTCTACCTCTGAAGTGCTGGGATTTAAAGGCGTGCGCCACCAACACCCAGCCTATATTATATTTATTATCACATTCACTAGCCTTGTTTACTTAGGAGATCCTCAAGGGCTTCAGTGGTCTTCCCCATGTTCTAGAATGTTGGTTAGATCGTGCTGCTCTAAAGTGCCCCTACTACATAAAATGGTGAGTCTTCAGACTGTACCTTCACAATGAGCTTTTTCTTTCATTCTGAGAATGGAGGGCAAATCCACACCACAGTGGATATGTAACAGCATCATTAGTCAGCACTCACAAAGCTTTGACTGTATTCCTAAAAGTAGAATGGGTACCGCCCGAGTAAACTGGGACTGTAGGAGCTCCCGGAAGTACAAAAACCATCTCAGGAAAACCAGGCCGAAGAACCAATCTGACTTAGCCGACTGGGGGAAGGAACAACTGCTTCACTTGTACCTCATAGAGGAGGGGACACCTAGCGCTGGGTGCTGATGACCCTGACACCCAGGGTGTGTGTGTGCGCTTCACTTGTACCTCATCTCATAGAGAAGGGGCCACCTAGCATTGGGTGCTGATGGCCCCATCTGACACCTGGTGTGTGTTAGGGGACTGACAGACAGAGAACTCTTGATTGTCCCAGAGGCTTCAGTTTGACTCAGTCTTCACTGCTGACATGGGCTGTCAATCACCATCCATCTAGCCACCTGTGGGTCCCTCTGGATCTGCTATCCACCCACCAGCCCATTTGTTTGCCGGGACCCAGTCCTGTCCTCCACCCCTAAAGACTTTACTCTACCTTGCTTCTACAGCTGAACTCTGTGGCTGGACAATGGCCTGACACACAACACAGACTCTGTCTTGCATTTCTATCAGCTTCCCAGCTTCTAAAATTTGAAATGCCTTGAGTCGTACCGTGGCCTATCTAACCCTTTGTGGCCATTTGATAACCTATACATGTACATATAGACAGCTATATAGAGTTATTTACTGTGTATGTGTAAGATAGCTAAGAGTTAATATTAGTAATTAGGATTGGAATAAAAAAATCATGTGTTTTCTTTGCTCACTAAGAAAGAGGTACTACCAGGCAAATTGCTGCCAACAAGACTTTTGTGCTTTGTGGATTTGTTATTATCGAATTCTGACATTATGGGAAGGCACAATCAGTTTCTGGCATAGGATGCCCGTGACAGTTGTAGATAATAAACGGAATGAACTAACCTCAAATGTGAAGATTACCCCTTCACAAGAGTCAAGTGGCCATCAGCTGAATTTTACTTTGTTTTAGTTTGAGACATGTTCTCTTGTCACCAAAACTGGCCTCAAACTCATTAAGTAGCCAGGGTTGACATCATGGTCCTGACCTTGCAGCCTCTGTCTCCCAGGCACTGAGACTGCAAGCGCCATGCTTGGCTCATACCTGAGTTTAGGAAGGTGGCCTCCTAAGTGGGAATCACACGTATGACCTATCTCGACTGGCCCTGCCTGTTGAATGTTTAAGTTCAAGATATTTTCAAATTCACAAGTGCCAGAAAAGAATATTTCCTGTATTGTACAAACATGTAAATAAAACAAAGGTGACTTGGCAGGGCAATTTGTTCCTGTGCAGAAGGTGTGCATCTTTCCAAAGCGAAAAAACAAGCACACCGGGGCTGAAAGTTCACTTAGTTTTTATTCTAACGTGACGGTGAGCATCTCGTCTCATTGGTGAGGGCTGGGCCTCACAATCTGACGCAATTGGTTAATTCATAATCTGTGCAAAGCATTAGGTTGTGATAGCGTCAGGCCTCAGGAATGTTCAGAGTTTGGGCAAACAGGCATGTAAACAAGAGTTTCACAAGACTCATGAAACACTGATCAAAAGAGTGTGCTTGGCGAGAGACAAACCAAGACAGGAAGTGCCTTTGGTTTTTATTACAGTTCATGTGCTGGTTCTGTTTTTCCCCCTTGGCTGGGGTCTGACCTCACTCACAATCTTAGCTGGCTAGTCTGAAAATATTTAGTGCATGGGAAATAAAGGAGGAAGGGGAAGAGGTTACTGCTCCCAAGGGAAAAGGGGGGTCGCTAGTCCATCAAATCCCTAGAATACAACACTGGGCCGTGGTGTAAACAAAGGTTTTACTGAGTCGGGGAATTAAAAGTTTTACAAGGTGAGGGAGACAAAAAGATTCTAAGCCCTTGTCCTAAACACAAAGTTTTATAGTATTTGATAGAAAAGACTCACATTTGATACTTCTTACACCTTCTCAAGTTCTCTCTGAGGTCCTCACATGAGGTTTAGGTTTAGGTTTAAATAGAAGATGAGAAGCATACGTAACTAAACAGTGCTGGTTAAAGTGTGGTCCCTCCCATCATCATTGTCTAGGCTAGAGTCTCTCTTGCGAGTTGTCAGGACTATGAAAATCAGAACTGTGTGAAATGGCTTTTCAGGAGACAGGCTTGCTTCTGACTAATAACAAGTGAAAAGTTTCTGTACCCCAATAAGCCTCTCCACCGACACAATAATCTGAATCAGACCAAATCAAACTGAATTAGAAAAAGCCCAGGTTTAGTGGAAACAAACACTCACAGATAACTTTATAGCATGCTCCCAGACCAAACTGGAAAAGAAGACCAGATAACCGCCTGTTTGTTCTCTGGGGGGCAGTTTAAATACCCTGTGGGAGTGGTCTTGAGCATCTCTGGGGAGGGAGGATCACAATTTGGCAGGCTTTCTTGGGGGTGGAGTCTGGATTGAGGGAGCTTGGGGTAGAACCTCCACCGGAACATTCCAGACTCTTTGGGTATATGGATGCCAGGGGCTGGGATGAGGCCTTCACCCAAACATTCCAAACTCTTTGGATATATGGATGCCAAAGGCTGAGGGGGAAGTTTCCATCTGAACAGCACGCTTTAGCCTTTTGTTTTCTCTCAGCATGAGATTCCTGATAAAAATTTAATTTCTTGGGTACTGTAGAACTTTAAGACAATTCTGAACCCATTTCTGACAATTCTGAGCCCTCTCATGCTCAGCAGTAATGCTCTTCCCTTCCCCCCTGGGAACCAAGGACCTAACAGCTACATGTGCACATATGTTCTCCAGAAATTGGAGCAAGATAACATTTAAGATGTTGACTCAGTTCCTGAACAATTACCCACACACGTATGTTTTGACTCAGTCCCTAGGAAACGAGGTCAAAGTGGCCTCTTACGTCATCTGATCTGGCAACTGCACTCCAGCCAATTATTGGTAATAGCCCTTTTGAATAGGCCAATCATAATAGTCAAAGAACAACCCCCAGACATCCCCCTGCTTCTGTGGCTTTTTCATTTAAAAGTAGCCTGTACCAGCTATTCTGGGTCTCTCAGCTTACCGAATGTGGAGGGACCGTATCATGACAGAATTAATAAAATCCTCATGCTTTTACATCAGCTGTGGTGTGAGAGATGGTCTCTAGGGGCGACTCCTCCTCGGTGATTGGACTCTGGGGTCCAAAAGTACCATTGTTTCAATAGCCTGATAACTAAGCAGAGGGGCATAGTGTCTCTCTAGACTATCTTAAGTCATACCAGGGTGTTTACGAAAGAAGATTGCTTCAACTTAGCTACAGTGGGAAGAGAAATGGGTTAAAGGGGTCTGGTTGTTCAGTATCTAGTTAGATATTCAGGCCTGGAGGGCACTGCAGAGGGACCCTGTGATTGCTAAAATTATGTTTTAAGTTTAAATTACCATGCTTAAGAGATTTATAAAATAAACCTCCTCTAACCTGTAAGTCCACTTGCCTAAGGACAGATGATTTCCTGGAATGTTGGGGGCTGTTGTTCATGTAAGATTGCAAGCCATGAGATTTTGCTACTGTAAACAAGCTCGGTTGCCCCAGCTGCACAGGATGTACTTGATCACATGTAGGCGGGCGGTCCATAGGCAGGAAGTACATCAGGATATGTGCTTGCTCCTAATTGGATGAAGACAGGAAGTACATAGCCTTGTGAGTTTTGCCTTTATAAGACCCTAGCTAGTGTAATTCAATTCCATGACCCTAGAACTCCCAGGTATGGACCTAGCCAGTGTCAGCTGCCCTGGCCAGTATTCAATAAAGCTTGCTTCAGATTTGGTTCAATACTTGTGGCAGTGATCTTATTCTCACCCAGTTGGATTAACATTTTCTGGATGCCCCCAGTGAGGGCAGGCCACCTACCCAAATTCTAAAGCTAGAACTTCTGCCTAGGACTCCGGGGCTGAAGGACTGCTTCAAGAGGTATGCACCTTGAGACATCCCAAAGTTCCGAGGTATGCTCTCAATTTTGCGAACTATCAGAATGAACTGCTGGGCTGAAAAAAAAGCAGCAAGCATCTATAGAAGTCTCTCCTTGTAAGTCGTAGTAATTTCCCTTGACATCTGGTCTGTTGGGATCACGATCTGGGACATGGAGAGGTTCAATGGCACCCAATACTCTCCCATCCCAGGGCAATAGTGATACGTCACACATCCACCTGGTTCTGGTTGTTGGATACTAAGCCAATCTGTCAGGCCCATGAAATGTCCTGAAGTTGTATATGTCTGTTTTGTGTATGTGGCTAGGTCTGTGTTTTCTGGTGTTTCTGTAAGTTTTGTTGCTGACATGGAAGCCTAGACAGAAACAGGTCAGGCTCAGCTGAATGTATGAATAATGATGGCCACTGCATACTTAGTTTCTGACTGGTCGTCCCCTTTGAGTATGTGAGTGTTCTGCGTTCTACATTTACTAGTTTTGTTTTTGCTATCTCTGCCACTGCCGGCTGCCAGCCACCACCACCAAGGCTGCTTGCCATGGTTGTTTTGATAATCAGGACTCAGGATTTATCTCCAAGATTTCTGGTCTCTAGATTCAATTTAGCAAGGATTCAAATGTCTTTTGAGCATGAATAACATTATAGTTGTTTTATGTTGTCCACTTTGTGGGAAAACTGGTTCTATAATTAGGTTTGGCTCCCCCTTCTCTAGACCCAAGCATGCTTACCTGGAAGTCTATTCCAAAATCTGTCCACCTGACTTTGTGGCAGAGATAAGAGCAAAATGAAACAGCTAAAAAGAAAAATAGACTATTAGTTTCATTAAATTGCTTAAAACATTTGCTAAGATATAAACGTTATCTCAAGATTCTTTTTTTTAATATTTATTTTATTTATTTATTTATTATGTATACAATATTCTGTCTGTGTGTATGCCTACAGACCAGAAGAGGGCACCAGACCTCCTTACAGATGGTTGTGAGTCACCATGTGGTTGCCAGGAATTGAACTCAGGACCTTTGGAAGAGCAGGCAATGCTCGTAACCACTGAGCCATCTCTCCAGCCCCTATCTCAAGATTCTTTAAGATTATTATGTGAACTTTCTGCACCTCAAGATTTGTAAGTTTAGCTGGGCTGTGGTGACGCACACCTTTAATCTGAGCACTCGGGAGGCAGAGGCAGGTGGATCTCTGTGAGTTCAAGACCAGCCTGGTCTACAGAGCTAGTTCCAGGACAGGCTCCAAAGCCACAGAGAAACCCTGTCTCGAAAAACCAAAAAAAAAAAAAAAAAAAGATTTGTAAGTTTATTGGGTATGCTTAAAAATCTGTAAACTCTGTATAGAGACAGCCATGTGACTGGCAACAAACATTGCTAGGACTGGAGAGGGTGGATGTCATGTGACTTCATCACCATTTGATTAAAGGTGACCACATGGTATAAATCAGCCAAGGAGGCAACAACAGGTCTCCAAAATATTTTGGATTAGGATGAATTCTTGTATAATTCTTGTCCTGAAAATAGCCATTAAAAACAAGTTTTATAAAAGATAGGATTTAAAAACAATGAGTGTTTAATCAGGGGTTAAAGTTGCATCTCCCTATGCTCATATACAAAAATTTACCTCATGCAGCCAAACCCGGGTGGTATTGGTTTTAAAGACAAGCAGCCATAGAGAGCAACTGAGGCTTGGTTGTGAGGGAGGGCTAGAGTTCCTAAGGAGAGTCCCAGCAGTTCTGGAGATGCCAGTGTCATGTGATGGCCACCAGGAACAGCAGCCACAGTGCAATGGAGCTGGTTGGAGACTAGAAGACAGGCTGTGTGTGCTGGAGAGCTGACCTGAGCCCCCTGGAGAAGCCTAGAGCTTGTGAGTGAATCTCTGATGTTGAGCACTGAGCTGTTTGCATGGTTGGAGTTTGGTTCTGCCTTGTTCAGACTGTACTTGTGCCCTGTTTCTTCCCTCTTGGAGTAAAAAAGATACTTAATTTATCTTTCGATATTGCAGGAGCCCACAGTTGATAGACTTCAAACAGTTTTTAAAAGACATTTTAGAGTTTTACAAAAATAAATAAAGGCTATTTTCTTTAAATATTAAAAGTTATAAGACTCTGGGACATTTTAAGTTTATAAAATGTTTTATGTTATGATGTCTTATTAATGTATAATCATAATTAATTAATTAATTAGCTAAAGATTTAGGGTCACAGCTATGAGCACCAAATACTAAACACCAGAAACTAGGATGTCCCTATCTTACCAGGCAGCAAGACAATGGTCCAAGAAGTCTGGCGAAGAGCCTATAGAATGTGTCTCCTTATATAAGGTCTATTCAGACTTACAGAGACTGACTTAAGAGTGTATGTCTAGCCTTGTCTTTGTTAACTTTGTTAAGCCTTAGCTATTTTGATAAGCTGAGTCACACAAGTGACTGTGATATTCTGTAACGGTGCACTATGAAAGGACCAGGGAAGTAAAATTGCCGGTCTCCCCTGTGTAGCAGGCTTCCTTTGGGCCACCAACCAGTTCTCAAATAAAGGCACGGGGACTTATTAATTACGAATGCTTGGCCTTAGCTTAGGCTTGTCTCACTAGCTCTTACAGCTCAATTCAACCTGTTTCTCTTCATCTACGCTTTGCCTTGGGGCTTTTAACCTTTCTTTCAGTCTGTATGTCCTACTTTTCCTGTTTCATCTCTGGCTGGCTGGCTGGTGGCTGCCTGGCCTGGGGCATCTCCCTCTCTTCTTCCCTTATTCTCCCTCCTCTTAAATTTAGATTCATCCTCCTACTTAGTCTCTCTGCCCAACAGCCCCACCTATCACTCTACTGCCTAGCTATTGGCCATTAAACTTTTTATTAGGCCACTCAGGTGACTGCTCTACCCTGCGTAAGTCAGGAAAGTCACTTTTCCCGAGTTCTTCATTCACAGAAAAATCTCTCAGACCTTTTGGGGCTGGCCGTTGATGGCCTATGCTGTCCTGTGTAGCAGTTAAATATATAATGCTGTTCTATGTGATAGCCATAGACCTATGACCTCTGCCCCCGCAGCAAAGCCATCGAGACCACAGGAGTCCAGGAAGCTACTAAGTCTCTGCCATTTTAATTGGTACAGAGGCCATTTGGTTTATACTTCCTGCTGTAATTTATCCTTCTCAGATCTCTAATAATGACAGCAAACAGTAGCTTTGTCACTATGGCAACTGTAGGTACCCAGCTTCTCCCCCAAGGCTGCAGCTACCATGTTAGTTCATTTCATACATAAAGACATCAGGCCTCGCTTTTTCTGGCACTCCCAGGTCTCCTGCTGAGAAAGGCAGACAGGCTTGCCTTGCTAACAGGCTTCATATGAAAGGATAAACAGGCTCAGTCTAACTTTTTCCTATTCCTTTACGCAAAAGAACTTGCTTTGGGAGGACTGCTCTCAGTAATCGACCACTTGTGTCTTGAGGTGAATGATTCCATGAAAGAAAGATTTAAAATTTAAAGTTGCCAGGGTCTAAGAGAAATTTACATGAAAGCTTAAGTAGTTGCGAAGATCTAAGGAAGTAATTTAAGGGCTGTGAAAAGTGAGGAATGCTTCCGATTCCTTTCCTGGTCTGCTAAGATCTCACAAGGTCAGAGTTTCAACATTGATCGATGGAGTTCCATGGAGTTCCCATAGGCTGGCAAAGCACTGACCGCTATTAGCAATCACAAACTCAAGACATGAATTTCCTTTGGCCATCTTCTTCTAAGTATAGTCTCAAGGTGCTTCATATCAAACCAAAAGTATCTCTGCCCAAGTGTATCACAGTCCTCTGGACAGAGAAAAGAGTACTTTTTAACCCAAAGCCATAGCTTTTGCTACGTGTTGAAGGCAGGAGTCTGTCTGCTCCAGCTGCTTTACAGACACATTGTAGCAAAAGCTACAATGTGGATTTCAGTATAGATTACAAACAGTGGTACTACCATATCTGAAACTTTGATCTCTTTTCGTAAATTAAAAATTCATGTAAGCTTCAGGGAGTCCCAGCTTGAATGCACCCGTCACAGGCCAAATGGACTCCAGATCCGTGCCCCAGTCACGTCATTCAACAGCTCCCTGCGTATTGAACTTCCTGAACTTCACTCTATGCCCAAACAAAATGTTCCACATAAGCTCTCCCGACAGTTCTCATCCTACATTTGTTCCCGATACATCTGCCAAAAGACCCGTTAGATGATGTGGGCAAACCGGCTAAAAGGCCTTCATCCCTTTCACCCCAGGCCGGATACGGTTTTCTCATAAGTCCTCTGTTTTCTCCTGTTTCCCTCCTTTGATGCTCGGTGGCTCCCTGCTACTCCGCTAGCTCCTTTTGGTGCCACAGTCCGGGCAATGGGACCTGTCACTGCCACCACCACCTTGAATCAACTCTACCCACTTCCTCTCACCCGCTCACTCTGTCTCTCCACCTCTGCTGCTCCCTCTCCCTCAACCTTCCTGGGGAGTCTCAGTTTTTACTCGGTAGGGTAACCAGATTGTCTGCTTACAACCCTCTACTGATTAGTTTTCAAGTCTCTTCAGAAATACAGAATGACAGTTGCTTTATCCATTACAACTGATCAAGTTAAGACTCTTCCCCCTACTATGTGACTAGAGGACCCCCCTCTTCAGTGGACCCAGAATGACTCCTCTGACAAATACTCTCCTCAACAGAAGCAGCTATAACACCCCCAAGTTAAACAAACAAACAAAAAAGAAAAACAAACCAGTTTCTGGCAGAAAGACTACACTTCCCAACTTTCCTTGCTGCTAGGTAAGGTGGCTACAGGAATGAACATACTATAGTGTAGTAGTAATTTCCGTTCTTCTGTGGGCATTTTGCTCATTCACACAGGTGGATAATAACATGTCCCCATGCTGTGAATAAATTTGGTTCTGCCTAAGATGAGCCAAAGGCCTCTCTTTCTGTCCTCCTTCTGTCTCTCTACAGCAACCTTAAATAATCTGACATCTGGTGTTCCTGCTTGGTTACCGTCATAACTCCTTCATCTTCATCAGGATAAGGTGGGGACTTCCCTTCATTGGGTTTAGACCATGGAATTTCCTGTTCCTCTACATGTGCAACTTCCTTTGACTATGGGATCTCCTTTAGTTTCAGAATTATACACCTTGGGTCACATCCTCTTGTATACTCCCGTCTCCTGTTGCATCCCTGCTAACCTAACCTATGTGTCTTTCTTAAAAGGAAGGTGACTATGCTCTTGTAATGTTTCTCATGCAGTCCTCTTGCCTTGTGATAAAGCATGTCTTGTGTTGGGTTAAAGGGATTAACAGTACTGTCTTTAACCCACCTCTAACCCATCTCAAGTGGTCCTTCCACAAGCAGGGGCAAGGACAGAAGCACAGCACAGCTCCTCAGTGTCACCCACAGCCTGGAGAATTCCTGCTCTCCTTAAAGGCGTCCATTAAGGCAAGACCGGGATTCTTGACTTTCGGAGAATGCAGTGTGTAGCAGAGCCAGGATTTGTTAACAGACTCTTTAATGTGCATCTTAGAAGGAAGGATTAATAGAACCAGACGCTCAGGGAGAGACTAGGACACACCCACACATGGGCGGGGGCTTCTTAAGGGAAAACTATGCCTTATTGTCTTTGTAATTGCGGTACGTGATCCTGTGACTTTCTCAGAGAGTGTAATTTACAGCGGGGTATAAAGGTTAAAGACTTTTCCTTTGTAAGACTGGGGAAAGGGCTCCGTGGGTAACAAACAGGCTGTGAAAGCAGGCCTGGCTGAGTTTGGATCCAGAGGCAGTGTGTACCTGTCACCTTGGCACAGGGAAGAGCAAACAGGAGGCCCCCTGGAGCTCTCTAGCCAGCCTCCTGCCCATCAGTGAGTGCCAAGTACAGCGAGGGGCCCTTTCTTAGAACAACAACAATAATGTGGAAAGAAAACTTAACTTCTGGCCTCCACAGGTACATGCACACACACACACACACACAGAAAGAGAGACAGAAAAAGAGAGAGAGAAAGAAACATAATTTTATTTTACAGTGTTATAAGGTGGATTTATGAAGTGTATTGTTTAGATTTAAGAATGAGAATCAGATACTAAAAACTCAAGGTTATAGATCGTTTTGGCCCTAAGCAAGCACACTTTATTTATTGTCTTTAATTTCTATCATTGAGAATCTATAGGAAAACATTCATCATCTCAACAGGCAACTTTGACCTCATCTTTGTATCTGAGATAATTTTAATGATTTAAAAGGAGGTAATGTACAATGAGTTATAGATGATAGAGCTTAAGTAGCCCATGGTAGATGTCCCACAAAAGGCTTATCACACTTAGTGTCCCCATTGCCCAGGAATGCCTTCATTTCAATATCGGTGAGTTCAAGGGACTGAAGTACAGCTTGTGAGTCATGCCAAGCTGGCGACTATTGACCAGGGACCTAATAAAGATCCTACTGCCTTTCTCTAGCAACTCGAGGTCATAAAAATGCCCACTCTTACTGATTCCTTTGTTTGTAGAGGTGTACGCTTCTGGGACAAATAACCACTCAACTTGTTCCTGAAATCAGAAAGAAGTCACCACAACTGTCACTAGGACTTGAGGCTCCCATCAATGGCCTACTACATAGAGCAAAATCAGTTTCTATACCCAGTTTCTTCTACCCAGGAAGCTGGGAGGGAAGGGGAGGGGAAGGGAGAGGAGGGGAGGGGAGGGGAGCCACCACATCTGGCTATGACCTCTCGGTTTTCATGGTTGAGATGGGTTGATCCTATTAGTCTTTGAACTTTATGTACTTAGCTGAGTAGTAGGGTAGAAGGCAGCTTAACTTCATCTGTCTTAGTCCCTTTGATCATCATCTGAGGTCTGCAAATTAGCAAGAATGAAGACCCTAAATCTTTCCCACCTTATTTCATCCAGAAACAATCAAACCGCCTCAACACCCGTCTCCTATTAGGTATGATGCAGGCTGGACAAGCCTGAAAAGTGATCAAAGGGTCCCGGTTCTTGAAGGGTAGCTATTTAGATATTAGCAGGGTTAAAGGTCATGGGGATGGATCCCCCCCTCAATATCAGCAGTTTATGAAATCAGGAAGTCAAACCACAGGGCTCTGCTTACTGGTCTGAATTAAGTATGGTTAACTCTGCATGGAGACATGGTATTCTGAACTGCCCAGAAGGCTATGATAAGATTATTATCTATCCAGAGACTTCCTAATAAAGAACAAAGACATACCATTGTCCCTCTTTTCCAAGTTAACCCAAGTGAACTAGTCAGTCATCTGGACAGGAAAATGCTCTTTCGGTTTAGAGGCTTTAGAAATAATGAAATGTATATCACACAATGTTCTCTTCGGCCATTAGTCCTCTCACCTGGACTGGAAAGTGCGCCAGCTCTGTTTGTAGGAAGTGTGTAACTATCTTTTACCCCACTTTCTTACGTGCCTCATCTCCAGACCATGTGATAGTGATCGCAGAGACTAGGGAACCAAGCCAACTCCTGATCCAGGTCATGTCGGCACACTGACTCTGAGTTCATCTTTAAGACAGTGGCATGAGCTTTAGAGGACGAATAAGCACAGAGCAAGGCATGTGCACAACTAAGCAGTCCTGGTCAGGTGCAGGCATATGCATCATGGGTGGCCTGAGCGCTCACCCTGGAAGGTGGTCCTGAGAAGTCCTTAGTGTTTGAAGGTGGCTCTCAGAGAGGGATTGCTTCTGCTCTAGAGGACATCCTCCTGCTCCAGGATAACAGCCCTCCATGGGGAGTGGGAGGTGGCCTGTTCTGATGGGCTTTGCTATTCCTGGAACCCAAAGTGACTGCTGACTTAGGACAATTATTTATTTCCATGCCTTCAGCCAATTAAAGATACAAAATGAAGGCAGAAATGTCACTTTGCGTTTAGCTGCCTTTTGGGTTCAAGCCAGGAGATAATGCTTAAAAGAAGCAACCTTTAAGTACCTGTTTCAGAAATGGCTAAAAGTCCATCGCTTCTGCCTTCATTTTGCATCTGTTTTCTTTAGTCATCATGAGGCCTTAGATGCCCAATAAACCAAGCTGGGCTACCCATAAATAGTCAAATATGCAGACATGGAATGGTAAAAGTATGTGGCCACATTGAGAAGAACAGATAAAGAGGCCCAATGGTCCCTTGTCTTAGTTTCTTTACCTGCTGCTCTGATAAAGGACCCTCGCAAAAGCAACTCAGAGGACAAAGGGTTTATTTTGCTGCTGCTGGAGAGTACTCACTAATAACGACTGAGAAGTCGAGGCAGCAGGGCGTGAAGCAGCTGGTCATGTCGCATCCAGAATTGCGAAGTGGAAAGCAGCACACGTTTATGCCAAGCTCACTGTCTCCCTTTTATACAGTCCGGGATTCCATCCCAGGGAATGGTGCCAGTCAGAGTGAGTGGTTATCCCCATGGCAGGGACCTAATCAAGGTCCTCCCTACAGGCATGTCCTTACAGATGTGTCCAGAGGCTAGGCTATTCCAGATCCTACGAAGGCGACAATTAGCACTAACCAGCACATCTCTTGGGGTGTTCTTTGGTCCTGATATAAAGTTCAAGCTTTAAATAGGGGATAAGAGGTGTGTATAAACAAGTCGTCCTGGTCAAGTTATGGTCTCAGCCGCCCGTGACCTATCCTTGTCTCCCTTTCAATCTTTCCTGCAAGGTGGTCTGACAGGAAATAATTGTAAGCTCTCTTTCCAAGAGACAAGTCCTCCCCTGGCTAGTATCAGACTTCTGCCTTTTCATTCTCTCAGCATGAGACTCCAGGGCAAATGTCCATTGTTTCAAAAGTCTGATAATCAAAGGGAGCTAAAAGAGTCTCTTCCTACCTTTATCCTTGGATATTACTGTCAGCTTTTACACTGTCCTGCTCCAGATGTCCAAAAAAGAACTAAATGTCTCAAGTCATCGTCCTAGACCTGCATTCATCTTAGATTCCAAGAACCACAGGACCAACAGACACCTCTATGACAAGGGTTGAAACTGCCACACAAGCAATGGAAGGCTCCCAAGTGAGGGCATTAATCTATCACGGTGAGGCTCCAGCCTGGCACAGGACTGATGGTCTCTGTGGGAATCAACCTGCTTTCCCTCAAGTGGAAAACAATGTCTTGGGAAGTCAAACAGGACTAGAACTTTGGTAACCAGACCACATACGGCTTGGCCATGCCTGCATAGTTAGGTACCACTCTCCCCCTGCCATAATTACTCCACTGTCTAAACCTAAAGTTCATCTCAGTGCCCTAAATATGGAGGACCCAGGGCCACCAAATCTCTGTCTTTCCTGCCCAGTGTGGCCACAGTGATTAATTAGATCTCTTTTCTCTGTTTTTGTAAGTACTGATGTATCAACACAAAAAACTCAGACCTCTTTTCCAAAGGAAGTCTTAGCCAAAGATGAGTGACCACGGCCTGAGAGCATGGGTCCAGGGCGTCCTGAATGACGTGTTCCCATGTGGAAGTGATTTCATGAGCTTTTCATAGAACGAAGGAGTTATAAATCAAGGTACTTACCAAACAAACTGACAGGGACGTCAGGCAGGTGGGTCCCAGCAGAGCAGGGAAAAGGCCACAGCTTTTGGAAGCTGATAGTCTGCTGAGAATGTATTCCAGAGATCACCTGACAGTCAGGAGGACGTCAGGTCAGACTTGGAGTAGGCAATGGGTAGTTATGAAGGGGACAGAAACTAGCCCAGCATTCCAGCTTTATACAATCAGGACGTTTGGCCTAATTGCTCGGCCTTGTAGATACTTTCACATAGGTGTGGCTATTTTTTTTTTTCTGGCAACTTCAGTTTATTGTTTAACTGGTATATTGGGATATTGGCTAGAGGAGTCTTTTGAGATTCCTGAGTCCAGGGACTAGATCTGAAACTCTGTCACAGTTCTAGGTAAGAATTGGGCTTGTGGCTGAGCGCGATGGTGTGTGCAGATAATTTCAGCACTCTGAAGTTGAAGGTGGAGGATGGTTATGAGTTAGAGAGCAGACTGGGTTATAAAATAAGACCTTGTCAGCAGCAGAAGAAAGGAGGGAGGGGGAGAGACAGAGACATAGGAAAGAAGAGAAGCTTGTGTCAATAGTAAGCCTAGAGAAACCAGGCATAGTAGTAGCACATGTCTGTAATCCCAACACTAGGAGACAGAAGCAGAAGGATCAGAAGTTCAAGGTTATCCTCAGCTACGCAGCAGGTAGGAGGCCAGTTTGGGACACATGGAACCCTGTCTCAAAACACACATTCTTGTGTACACACCCACACATTGATGCATGCCAAAAACCAACAACAACAACAACAACAAAAAAAAAAAAAACCCAAAAACTCAATGCCCAAGAGGAACCTCGGCTTTTGAGCTGAAAAGTCTGATCTTGATAGACAGACACGTGTAGAAACTCTGAAAGGTTTTAAGCAGACATCAGTTTTGCCTTTAAGGGTGGGGTTGGAAGGGTGTTTGGAGAAATGGTGGATGAAGAAGTCAAAGATGAAACAGGGAGACTTGTTAGAAAATTAGTAAGTTGAATTATATAGAATCACCACTTTTAGGCCACAGTGGCCAAAGGTGATGAATTTTTGTTTGTGTGTGTGTGTGTGTGTGTGTGTGTGTGATTGTACACGTGCACATGATATATGAAAGTGCAGGTGCCACAGCATGTGTGTGCAGGTCAGAGGACAATTTTGTGGAGTTGGTTCCCGCCTTCCATCTTTACATGGATTCTGGGAAGCAAACACAGGTTGCCAGGCATGCAGCAAGTTTCTTTATCCACAGAGGCACACGGCTGGCCTGGAGCTGTCAATTTGAGATGGCTCATCCTAATGCCAGGTAAGAAATGACCAGAACCTAAACTATAGTACTGATGGATGAGCTCAAGCAACATTTGGGAATTCCACTATGACAGCGCAGTATCTTCCATGAAACAGACAAACATAGGTCTATGTGAGACAATAGAAACACAGTTACAGGTCACAGGAAATCATGCCTGAACCTAGATATTTTACTTCTATTTAGTTTGATGAACTTCACAGCTTGAGGCCTGATAGATCCATTTGGATATGATCGTATAACCACGTTTAGTCCTAAGTTGGCATTAACCCCAGGTCTCTTGACGGTACTTCGCCTGTCTCTGTTATATCCTTGCTAATCAAAGGAGATATTAGTATAAAGTTTCCCAGGGTTTCCGTGCCACAGAGTAGGTGGCAAAAACAACAGAAGCTCACATAGTTCTGGAGGCTAGTAGCCAGATGGAGGTTGGTAGGGCTGGTTCCCTGTGAAGGCTGCAGGAAGGATTTAGTCAGGCCTGCCCTTGCTTGTAAATTGATCACCCTGGTGTCATGCTCATTCCTCATGCTGGACCACCTGTTTCTTACAGTGCTAAGTTCCCTCTGTGCCTACAGGCTTGCTCCCTCCTCCCCTCTGTTCCTTCTCTTCTTCTCTTCCTCTTGCTTTATTTTGAGACAGGGTCTTGATACTAGGTCAGTCTGTTCTTGAACTTAAAATCCTCCTGCCCCGGCTCTCCACTTTTGAGTGCAGGTATTACAGGTGACATGGATCATTTTGCTGAGTTATGATCAATCCTGCTCCAGTATAGCACGGACTGAGGGGGTGGAACAATTAAATCTGCAAGGGTGGAGTTTGCTGTTGTTTTGACAGAGTCCCAGGTATTCCAGGTCTGTGGCAGTAGATGACTCTGAACTTGTTTTTAAAGAGTTATATTATTTGCATGTTTGTGTGCGCACGTTTACGCACTTGTGTGCAGTGGCCTGTGCCTTAGTCCTAGGATTACAGGTGTGTGCCACCATGCCTGTTTCATGTGGTGCTAGGATCCAGTTAACACTCTACCAACAGAACCGCATCCCCAGATCCTTGTTTACATAACAGTACTTTTGAATCTTAAGTTCTTGTTCTTTTTGCTAATAGCAGGTCTGTGTTTTGTTTTGTTTTTGTTTTCTTTAAAATAGGAGCAAGAGCTGTAGGAGCCTGGGGAGTAAAGATCTCTTTTATTTTTTTTTTCTGTACCTTTTGCTTTTGTGTTTTGTCTTAGAACACATCCAAGAAGGTATTCTTTGCCATAAGCCTGCATCAACATTCTTTACTATCTGCTCTCAGCAGAAATTTCAGTCACTTTCCAACCCCCTCCCCCACTTTTTTTTTTTTTTAAGAAAAAGTCTCACTCTATAGCTCAGGCTAGACTGGAACTTGGGGCAATCTTCCTTCCTCAGCTGCCCAAGCATAACCCTGGCAACCTCCATTTCTAAAAACTTAAAGATTTCATTTTGTATTTTTTTTATTTTCTAAAAAAGAAAAAAGTTAAAAGTTGTTATTAGTGAAGAGAAAAAACAACCCTGAGTTTGCACTCGTCCTGCTAGCTGGGCAGAACACACAGCTACGTGTTTTTGATTGCACAATGGCCCTCTTTGATTTCACACATCCAGGGCTGGCAACCGGCTGCTCTTATCTTATCCATGGTCAGATGCAGCAGTGGCTTTAAAAGTGATCCTCAGAATGGCAGCACTTGTGTTTATCCTGCTTTTTATTTCCCTAATATTCAACACTATGTATTGTGGAAACATCAACAATCAAACAGGCTTTGACAATGGAACTAAACTATACCCTGGCTGAACATGGCAGACCTCTGGGCTTAGCTACTATGGTCACACTAGATTTCCAAAGTCTGAGAGAGCTTCCAGCTTCACCCTTACTAAACCAAACCAAACCAAAGTCTCTTTGTCCCCCACCCCAAGAAGCAACTTGATTACCAACAGAAAGGGAACTAAGTGAAATCAGGTGGTTCCCGGAGCAGTGAACCAGAAAGAGCACAGCGTCGTGGTGACATTGTTTCCATAGCATTCCTGCCCCAAATGCTTCATCTCTCAGGTGAGTCCAGCCCAAGCCTTGAGGAAACATGACCAAGAATGACTAGGAATGTGGCCCAACACAAAACCATAAAGTAATATGAGTTTTATTATGAGTAATAGCTGCTTGGGGGGTGGCTATTTTTCTTCAGGGGTATAGCCAGAGGTACGTAGCCCTTGATCCTGTACATAAGCCCACCCTTGTGGATATGCAAGTGACTCTAATTAAACTCACTGAATTATTGAAGGGAGGAGGGAGGTGTGTTGGGAATGTTCAGAGGAAGTTGGGGTATTAGAGAGGCATACATTTATAACACATGTATAGTTGTTAAAACCTGTATGTTAATACACACGGCTCAAAGTCACTTTTAACACCTCGTACGTAGCACACCTTTATGTTCCTGGGGTTGGCATTGAAACTGCTTCAAATCTTATTATAAGCAGTAATCTAGTGCTTTTCCTACATACATCTTCATATAGGCAGAGTCATGAGTGACATTGCTGACACATACTTAGTAGATGTCATTCTAGTGGCCTAAGTGGCTGTGCCAGTTCATATTTTTTTTGCCATAAAAACCTTTAAATTGTAAAGAAATAAAGCATGATTTTTTTTGTCGTTAATTTGATTGCACCAACATTCATGAACTTTGTAATCACAACGCTGTGACACAATGTCAAAAGGCTGGACTCCCTAACAAACCTTAGCATGAAGAAACAACTGGGCAAGCTCCAACTAACGAACATTTTGCAAAAGAACTGGCTAGCGTGCTTTGAAAAATACCAACAGCTCCAAGGAAAATAAACAGCTAAGAAACTGTTCTAAGTTATAGACTAGATAGGATTGGATTTTGAGGTGAAAAAAGTTTATAGAAAAAAAGGATTAGTTGGGCATGGTGCCAAATATCTGTAATCCCAGTCCGTGGGAGGTTGAGGCAGGAAAACTGCCATGGGTTTGAGGCTAGTCTGGGCTATGTGGTGAGCACCAGATCAGCTTGTGTTACACAGCAAGACTGTATCTCAAAACAAATAAACAAACAAAAGAAAAATAAAGACAATTGAAACAAATGGGAAAATTTGAGTATTGGTTGTAAACTGTGTCAATGTTTGATTAGAGAATTTAATAAGGCTTGATTATTCAAATTCATAAAATGTAAATGTGCATAGTACTGTATCAATGCCAAGTTTCTTGAATTTAGTTGTCAAAGTGTGATTGTATAAGAAAGAGACTGTCCTGGGGGCCTGGAGAGATAGCTCAGCTCTCTCTGCTCTTATAGAAGACCTCAATTCAATCTCCAGGAACAAAATAAAAAATTCTTAAAAGCCCAACTAAGTAATAAAAACCATGGGATTTGAGAGATGGGTTGGCAGTTAAGAGCACTTGCTGCTTACAGCTGTGTATAACTAATTCTAGATGATCTGACACTATCTTCTGGCCTCCTTGGGTGGTTACACAGACGACATACATAGATGTCATAACGTAACATGTAGAACACATAAATAAATCTTAAAAAAAACAACCTGATCGAGTCTTGAAGAATTAGTAAGGGTTAGCCTGACAACGCACGGATGCGTTCCAAGAGAAAAAGAAACTGAGATAGTCTAGAGGTACGAGGCAATTCAGCCAGAAGTTTAGCATGTCAGGGTATAAACTATAGGTATGGGACACCAGATCGTGAGCATCTAAGTTAAATATGAGCTCTTGCTCCCATCTGAATGGAGTTCAAACCTTAAGTCAGTTTCTTGGTATCTGAGATCAGTTAGCATGCTCTTTTGAGTTTGTTTCAGTGTCATGGACATGGTTAGAATAGTCATGCCCCAGAGACTTTTTTCAGGAGATTGTCATAGTTGTCTAGACCAAGGTGGTAACAAGGGAAATAATTAGAAAGCAAACAGATCAAGTGGACGTCTATCGGTCATGGTGGAAGAGCGGGTAGTCAAGACCAATGTGCTGGTGTGAGCTCTGGCAGTGCCATTCACTGGAACCGGCAGCACAAGAGGGCTTGAGGCTTATGGTGATTGTTTTGGAGAGGTTTTTGCACACGAGGTACTTGTGGTAACAAGTATTAGGGTATTTTCCAAGCTTGGGAAATGAGTTTGTTACAGGTAGGCTAGGAAGCATCAACATATGAACGAATAACTGTAGCCAATGGAGAGGCGAAGTGAGCCAGAGAAAATGAGATCTGGTGCAAAACATGAGCTAGAATTCGCGTCAGTACCTTTGAGGCTGGGCAGAGAAAGGCTCTGGCAGAGACCACCGAGATGAAGCTGGCTCAGAGGCAGGAAGTAGAGAATAGTTGGGAGTTATGTCTCAACAAAAGAAAAAGAGCAGTTAAAGCAAGGTGTGGGAAATGTATTAGCAAGTAGTTATCCCTAACTTTTTCACACAGAGAGTCAGCTAACTAAGGCACAAAGCAGCAGACAGGAAAATGTAAGGACTCTCCCTGGCTGGGGCAAAGGGACTTAAGACACCATCATGATTAACTAACTGCTACTAGGAAGAGAAAAGTTGAAGTTATAGGCGAGTAAGGCAATTTTAATTCATTGGCCGTCTTCTCTTGAGAATCCGGAAGTGGGCGCCCCAGACATCACGGCTTAACACAAGGCTTTACCATGGTGGGGGTAGGGAGCAGAGCTAATTCTCCTTAAGCTGTTCTTCCGGTCTTGACCCTTTCCTCCAAAAGACACCCTGAAGACGTCGCTGGACCTCAAAACCTCACAGGACACTTCCGGTTACAATAAAGTAACGGACCCTGTAGCGCCCCGGAGCCAAACCTATATACCTCCCGAGTCTCCGCCCCCAGCGCCCACTCCCGCTTGGGAGAACTGCGGAGACTGCGCAGGAACCCGCCTACTGGCTGGCTCCGCCCTTCTCTTTCTTTGTTGTGTCCCCCCCCCACCGGGTCCTAAGATATCGCGAGAGTTAGCCGGCAGGTCCCGCGAGCTCCGACCCTGGGCCAGCTCTGCGGCTCTCGCGGTGTTTGCGCGAGACTGCTTCCTTCCTCCTTCCCCTGCCAGTCCGCCTGCCTTCCTTCCTAGCTTCCCGGCCTGGCCTCCCCCCTCCTTCCCCTGCCGGCCCCCTCCCGGCAGGGATAATATGGTCTCCGGCGATGGACTCCCCAAGTGCAGGTCAGTTCCCGGCTGCCGCCTTAGCGCTGGCGGCTGGAGGCGTGCGCTGCCGTCCGCCGTGGCCCTCGCTCTGCTTTGCTTACGGTCCTCTGGGGGTCTCCCCGGCGCTCGGGCTTGGTTGTTCCCCCTTCAGGGCCGAGGCCGCCAAAGCCAGGCCTCCCCGCTCGCGTCCCGCTGTTCAGCGGGGCGGTCATTCCGCCCCTGGTCGGGAGCCGCTGCTTGATATCGGCAGCCTCCAGGCCCCCGGGAATAACTCTTGGTATCGGGACAAGCCCACATTTTCCTCTACCCGCCCCCCTTTTGTGAACGTTGAGGTGGGAAAGACCTGGGACCCCTCCTTTGGGTTTCACGCCGCTGGTTGTTCATTGCACTCAGCAGCTTGGAGTCCCTCCCTATTTCTTGGCTTCTGGAAGTGGAGTGAGGGGCTTGCCGTCGAGGCTGAACGCTAGTCAACCGGTTCCCAGATTATTGCAGCGCCGAGTCTCCTCCCCCATCCACCTCCCTCCGCAAAAGAAAAACACTATCCGTTCCGAGTGAACTATACTTATCTTTTCTCCTTTTGGAGGAAGATAGTGGCTGTGTTTAGGGGTCCCGCCCATCCACGTAATGAGTCTGCACAATGAAATCTTTTCAACCCCAAGGTTGCTTCACCCTTCCCCACAACCCTGAGTGTAGGGGGCATATTGAATTAGTGCGTAACCATAAGGGTATGGCTCTTAGGAGAATGTAATGTACCAATTTATCTAAATATTTTGATGGTCTTTATTTTTTTTTTAAAAAAATCTTTATAGTGTTCTAACTATTGTTGGATTGTTAACTGTCTTTGAACTCTTTTAAAAACCTAACAGTAGTTTTCTCAAAACATTCTCTCTCTACTTAAGCAATTTTCAGGGCATGTTTTCCAAATGCTTGGTTTAATGGTTTAATCTTTTAAACCATCCTTATTGTCTCCTGGACTTTTAACATTTTTAAGAGTGAAAAGCCACTGAGTGAGCTTGGTGGCTCCTGCCTGTAGTCCCAGCACTCACGAGACAGAGAAAGGATGTGTGCCTCTGGTTGGAGGCACTCATGGATTGCCAATGAGCTTAAGTCCAACCTGGGCTATAGTGGCATATCGTGTCTCAATGAACAAAATTCTCTTACCAGTTTTCTACTTGACAAGAGCCATGATTTAGAATTAAGCTATCCCAGTATGGTGGAGACTAGCCTGTGTCTATAATGTGGACTGCTCTGCTCCTCCAACACTGCAGCCACACTTAAAGCCACTTGCACCTCGTAGCTGCCTTGTTGGACAATGCAAATATAACATTTCCATTTTCCAGAACAAAATTTTGGGGAGTTTTCTCTTTGAATAAGAATAAGAGCCGGGCCGTGGTGGCACATGCCCTTAATCCCAGCACTCGGGAGGCAGAGGCAGGAGGATCTCTGGGAGTTCGAGGCCAGCCTGGTCTACAAGAGCTAGTTCCAGGACAGGAACCAAAAGCTACGGAGAAACCCTGTCTCGAAAAAAAACAAAAAACAAAAACAAAAAAAGAATAAGAAATACCTCGTAACTGTATTTGGTGAAAAGTTTGCTCTTTTTTTCCTCTCTCTTCTTCCAGGATACACTTTTGAGTACCTTCTTGAAACATTGGATGACAGTTCACATAAGAAGTTCTTCAATGTACCTAAACTTGGAGGCACCAAATATGGTAATGTTGCCTTACATTTTCTTGGGCTTCAGTTTCTGGTAATTATAATTATATGTAAATAATAATACAGTTATAATTATGCACATTGGTCAAGCAGAGCTGAAGACATTTTAAATTTATTTCCACCATGTGGTAACAGGTACACCTACCCATATCTTATTTACAAAACTTCCCTTGGGACATCTGGTTGAGGAAAATGGAAACCCATACATTAATTTCCCCTTTAAAGAGTTTAGTTAATTAAATGGACTCTCCCACCACCACCCCCAAGAAGCTAATTTATTTTAAAAGAAAGCATAGCAATATTCTATAGTGACTTAAAGTATACATTAACTTTTTCAAGTGGCCAGTGCTTCAAGTTATTCTTTTTTTTTATTTGTATGGTTTTTGTTTATTTGTTTGTTTGTTTGCTTCTGAGACAGGATTTCGCTGTAGAACTTGACTGTTTTGGAACTCACTTTGTAGACTAGTTTGACCTAGAACTCAGAGATCCACCTGCCTCTCCCTCCCAAGTGCTGAGTGTGAAGGCGTGTGCCACCAGTGCCCAGAGCCTCTGATTATTCTTTACACCATCTTTGAATAGGATCATCAAGTGAGTCCACTGGTTTAAATTGTTCTTCACTACACAGTGTGGTTCTCTGACACTTTGATAAACATTTGCACCTTCCTAACTGAGGTCAGACCTTTCATCGGGTTTTCAGAAGAAAGTTAACCTGTTGGCATTGGATGGGTGGAGTCTTGACTTTGAGTTGTGTTGTGTTTTGAGACAGGGTCTTTTAAGTGCCTAAGGTTGGCCTTGAACTCTCTTGTCATTCCTGTCCGGCCCCCCAAGTGTTAGAATTAAAGGAATGCTCCACCAAGCCCAGCTCTTGACTTAGTTGAAAGTTGAGTAACTTTTCGGCCAGACCAAAGACCTGTTAAGGAAGCATGGCTGCTGATGAACTTTCTGTTAAAGCTTTATGAAAAATATGTGACCAGCCTTACAGTTTGGAGATTTTCTTTAATCCTTTTATTTCTCTTTTATAAGCAATGTAGATTTTTATGAATTTAAGTATTCTACATTGTCACGTAGAGTGTGTCTGGGTTCATTGTGAGACAATGTGGATAATTTTTAATGTCTTAGAAGATCCCCATCTTAGAATTAGATTGTGCTTCAAAAATAACTAACCCCCATAATGAAAGCAGTAGCCTTGATACCTTCTATTACAGTAATTCGTAGATAAGAGAGGTTAGTTTATTTCTTGTACTACTTGTCTTTCATTTATTCTATCCCTTAATGATTTTGTGTTGGCTTTAGAAAATTATTTACCAGAAAAGGAAGAGGGGTCTTCGGCTTTGGGGCAGTGACTCAGTGGTAAAGTGCTCGCCACATAAGCCTGAGGACTTGAGTTCAGATCTCCAGAACCCACATGCGAAGCTCAGCACAGTCATATGTATCTGTAGTTCCAGCTCGGGGGGGCAGACGGGCAGACCCTTGGGACTCACTCGCCCAGCCAGTCTAGCCAACATGGCAAGCTCTCTAGGTGAGAGACCCTATCTCTCTCAGAAAATAAGGTGGAAAGCAATAGTGAACTACACCTGACATTGATCTCTGTTGTACATACATGCACAGACAGGCATATATCACACATACATATACACACATGCACAATAGGTTTTCTTTATAAACTCTTTTCTCCAAAATACGTGATTCTCTCTGTCTGGTTACTTTTCTATTACTGTGGCAAGATACCATGACCAAGGCAACTTAACAGGAAAACAGTTTCTTTGGGGCTTACCATTCCGGAGGTTTAGTCTTCATAAACCATCATGGCAGGGAACATGGCAGCTGGTAGGCAGGCAGGCACAGTGTTTGCACAGTAGCTGAAAAGCTCGTATCTTGAGACACAACTACAACTCAGAAAGAGCTCTGGAACTGGTTCTGGTCTCTTGAAACCTGGACGCCTACCGCCAGTGACACCACCTCCAACAAAGCCACAGTGCCCGGTTCTTCCCCAACAGTCCCACTGACTGGGGACCGAGTACTAAAGTATATGAGCCTATGGGGGCCATTCTCAGTTAAGCCACCACACTGGCCTCAAAGGATTTTTGCTTTTGATGTGTTTTGGTTTTGAGATAGAATCTTATGTAGCCCAGTATATTCTGGAACTCACTATCTAGCCCAGGCTGGCCTCAAAATTCTGATTCTCCTGCCTCCATCTCCCAAATACTGAGATTGCAGGTATGTGGCACCACACATGATTTAGGCAGTGCTGGGGGTCAAGCCTGGGGCCTCTTCCACGCCAAGCAAGGACTTTACCATCCAAATTACATCTTCCTTTCTATAAAAGTGTTTTGAACCCAATTTGAACAATTTATAAAAGCCATATATATAAGGGTAGTATTTTGTACTTGAGAATAAATAATCTCTCAGGATAATTTTTAGAAATGTGCCTACTTGAAGATGACCTAGAAACGTAATCAGTAGAGAATCAAAAGCTATTGTAATGAAAGGGGATGAATAATAATATAAAAGTTAATTTATCTGATAGAAGATAAGCTGTCATGGACATCTATATGTACTACTTTCTCATAATTACCAGAGTTATATTTATTATAACTGTAATAAATAAAATACCTTTAAAAACAGTTTAAGATTTCTTGGTAAGGAAAAAGATAGAACTGTTGAGAATAAATGAGTAGGCCAGCCTATACCATCTGCTTCACTAACCTAATGTTCTTTTGGTTTTTGGTTTTTCAACATTGGCTTTCTTTGTAGCTTTGGAGCCTGTCCTGGAACTAGCTCTTGTAGACCAGGCTGACCCCGAACTCACTGAGATCCTCAGCCTCCCAAGTGCTGGAATTAAAAGTGTGCACCAGGGGCTGGAGAGATGGCTCAGAGGTTAAGAGCATTGCCTGCTCTTCCAAAGGTCCTGAGTTCAATTCCCAGCAACCACATGGTGGCTCACAACCATCTGTAATGGCATATAGACAGAATATTGTATACATAATAAATAAATATTTTTTTAAAAAAAAAGTGTGCACCACTCCTAATGCCCTTTCTTAGTCTTTAGACAGGGTGTAATGCAAATTTATTTATTTTTAATGTCATTTATCTTTATAAAAATTATTTTAAAATTTATTTATTTTTGGAGACAGGGTCTCTCTATAGTCATAGCTGTCCTGTAACTCACTGTGTAGACCACAGTAGCCTTAATCACAGAGATGAGCTGGTCTCTGGCCATTTTACCTTTTGCTTTTCAAATTTTTATTCAGGGTATGGAAGTGGACACTCATGAGATCTTGACAATATTTTGACCTGATTACTTTCATGGAAAACTGTGTTTTTAAACTTCTGAGTTGCCTATTGGGTACTTTTTTAGTATGCTCAGCAGAAACTTGAGGGAGCTTGGTGACTCTCTTCTCTGAATTAAGAATATACATATTCCCAAGGTAGAACAGTCTCTTTTGCTTGTAGTAGAGACTGCATTCTGAAGCAGCTGAATTGCCATTGGACAAAGGGCATGTGGAGGGAGGTCAACCTTAGAATTAAGTGAGCAGCTTTAGAGAAGCGTGAATGAAGTAACTGGCTAGGATCCCAGAGATCCGCCTGCCTTTGCCTCCCGAGTGCTGGGATTAAAAGCATGCGCCACCGCCGCCCGGCTGGCTTTTCTCTTTGTGGTTATTCTAGCCCCTCTTCCCTTGCAGATGGAACTCAGGGCCTTAATACATGCGAGGCAAATGTGATACCACTGGTCTACATCCCTGGCTTCTAACATAGACACACACACTTTTTAAAAAAAAAATATTTATTTATTTATTATGGATACAATATTCTGTTTGCATATATGCCTGCAGGGTAGAAGAGGACACCAGACCTCATTACAGATGGTTGTGAGCCACCATGTGGTTGCTGGGAACCGAACTCGGGTCCTTCGGAAGAGCACGCAATGCACTTAACCTCTGAGGCATCTCTCTAGCCCCGACACACACACTTTTAATTCAAGCTGTTGATACATTAGGTTGAAAGTGTGCTGTTCCTCGACCTCCATCACACACTTGTACTTTTATGTTCTTAGTATATGCTGTCCCAGTCTCTATCATGGTCTATGAATGACAAAGACTTTTATAGAAAATACAATACAGTTTCCAGACACAGAAAGATAGCGGAGGAAAAATATAGTCTTAACAAAACCAGGCAGAGGCTATTTGCCATTTGAAGACTGATCTCTCTCTTTTTTCTGTCTACCTGAGTCTTCTGTCTGTCTAACTCACTGTACTTATGAGTAAGTCCCCACCATGACCACTCAACCATCTTTGTGTTTTGTGAATGGCTTGCCATCCAGTTAAGGTGATATCTCTGAGTGACTTTCACCTATTGCTTTAGCTGGGCTTGTTGGTTTTCCTTTGCTGATCCCAGTAATCCTGTTGGATGGGTAAACATGTATTCTCTAATCTTGTATCTTCCCTGAACTCTGGAAAGTGCTGTAGGTTGGGTAAGCAGTGACCAGCTTACTTACAAACTATACACAGTACATATGTTTCTAAAGATCACATAATGGGACTCTGTAGTTTCCAGGTACAGTTACACATTTAACCTGGAACATTGTGTTCTAGAGTTTGACTTTAGCTTTGTTTTTCATCTTTTGTTCCTGATTAGTCTCTGATTAAAAGAAAGTGAGTGACACTTGCTGGCTCAGCCAAAGTAGAATTTATTGTGATGGTATACAACTTTCAGACCAGTTAAATCTGGCTGACTGTCAAGAAAATAGGCAGTGGGCCAGTACTGATGGCATTCTTTGTTTTTCTCCCAGGGACTTGATTTTTCTGTCCCTTCTACTCAGATCATTTGAAGACAGGTCTTCTGGGTGTGCTTACTTCATACATATCCCTAAATCCCAAATAAGAAATCTCAGTCCTTAGCTTAGTTTTTTGTTGTTTTTCCTTCCTAGGATGGATCTCACTCAGCCCAGGATGGCCCTGTACTCTTGATTTAGCTGAAGATGACTTTAAACTCCTCC